GGCGGAAGCCAAAATAAGCGTGTAGTCTTTTTTAGAGAGAATATTAAAGAAGAGTAATTTTTTTTAAAGATTTGGCTATATAATGCCAATTGTTTGGGGCTATCTTTGTCAAACCTAATATAAGGCTAAAAAATTGCCAATTTCTATTATGTGTTGTTATAGGATGCCAATTTTTCTTTCTTAAAACCAGATTGAGCCGATTAAATATTGAAAATTAATGGGTGCCCTAGTCCATGGCACATAACCAGCATAATGGGTCTCTGGTGGGCCGGGCTGAGCCTTCTTCTGAGTTTTGTATTTTAGGTTTGTTATTATCTTAACTAATATGGGGCGCTTGCATCTATACCCGCTTTTTGGGTCACGTTTTAATTTGTGCCCGCTTTGCAAAAAAAAAAATTGCAAACGTACCCAATTTTTCGCGTAACTTCAGCATGCGGGGTTGAAGTAGCAAAGACAATCACACAAAACTTCAGCATTCTAGTAGACGGGCCTGAAGTAGCAAGTGTGCTGAACCAAGTGTGCTGAAGTTTTTGTTTGTAATCGCTGAACTTAAGCATAGTAGCTGAAGTTTTGTTCTCTATTTGCTGAAGTTTTTGTTTGTAATTGCTTAACTTAAGCATAGTAGCTAAAGTTTTGTTCTCTATTTACTGAAGTTTTTGTTTGTAATTGCACTAAATAAGCTGAAGTTTTTTTGTCCTGGATTCATTTGTTTTGTCATTAAGCTTTTTCAAAAACTTTAGCAGAAGATGCTGAAGTTTTTTTTGTCCTGGATAAGCTTTTTCAAAAACTTCAGCAGAAGATGCTAAAGTTATTTAGTTCATTTGTAAACACTTCAGCACTAAATAAGCTGAAGTTTTTGAAGAACTAGTATCCATCTTAAAAGCACTAATTGCATTGATATGGACAAGTGTAACATTAACCAGTTGTTGAGTTCCGATACACCAGGACATATCCAAAAGGGAACTGTGATAAAGACAACTACACACATGGCTAAAGCAGAAAAATAAATTCCTAATGATGCTACACGAAGTTATCAAAACTTACGCTTCCATCTGCCAGAAAGTTCACAATTACAGAAATATTTGTGCCTAGAATTTTAAGTTTTAAGAAGATTTCTCCAGTTTCATCATACAAGGAATAATTTCAGAAGAAGAAAAAAAAGCAACTGTATATAAGAAACTTTGAAAAATTCAGCAGCAGAAGAAAGAAGAAGAAGAAAATGAAGGAGGAGAAAGGGGGCTGAAGTTGTTTAAAAAGTGGGTACAAGTTAAAAAAAAATTTAAAAAATGAGTATAGGTTAATGGGGCGACCAAATAGGGCGCCCCGTACAATTTCTACATTTTAGCTTCTACTTGATTCTTTAATAATGTCCTATTTTTAATGCATAATCTATGGTAGAATTTAAATTATAAATCTACATAGAGATTAATTGGTTAGAAAGTAATTTGGGTATATATATATTTTAAGCGCTAGTTGGTCACATGATAAAAATGATATTGACCTACCACTAAAGGTCGACCTGAGTAATCTTTAAAAAAAATCATATCGTTAGCATATGCATTTATATCCTTCAAATAAATCACTTTGGTTTACAAGCATCTTTAAAACAATTATTCCAAAAACTCAAAACAAAATTTCTTCCGTTAAAAAGCGGATTCGGATTTTCAAAAATCACATAAAGACTTTTTTTTATATAAAAGATCCATATACAACCATCGAAAGGCACATTTTAAAAACATGCAGTACAAAAAAATTCAAGAATAAAAAATCTAATTAACTAATCCAAATACACAACTTTACCCTGGAATAAAACCACAAAATCGTTTCCAACAACTATTCCAAAAGCAAGCTAATCTTTTCAAAATAAAGAATTAGCTATGAAATGTATTGAACTTGTATCATGTAAAAAATCTCTTCTTTTTCTTATATGCTTTTTCAGAAATAATGCCACTTTAATAAGTGAGAAAAAAAAGGAAGTAAAAACATGTTACATGCTAAACATGGAAATATCACAAAAGAAAATTACGATGATTGTGACCCCAACCCCTTAATTACTAATTTGTCATATTTCCACTTTCTCTTTTTCGCTTTAATCCTGTCTTCCTTTTTTCTTATATATTGATTTAAACTTTATGGGTTCAATCTTTAAGATTTTAGTATTAAACCCAGTATATTCTTAACGTTATGGGTTCATGTATACTATGTGTTACAATTTAGTAGATTTTTACACATAAATTTATGTTCCATTTCGAAAGTTACGGGTTCAATTGAACCCGTCACTTATGTACTACATACGCCCCATCGGTTTTTCTTTTTTTTCACTCTCTCAATTTTTTTTTAAGCTCTCTATTATTACAAAATTGAGGCATTGCCCATAATGTGTTAGAAGTCTCTGTGACAGGATCTTATGGCCAAGAATCACAACGTGTGGTTCAAGAATTCCTTAGTTAGCATAGCCCTCGTCGTCAATTTTGTTTCTATTTGAGACCTAATGCAGTTTTTTTTTTTTTTGATTTAACACTTGGTGTTTAATATCTGTATTGTAACCTACTAAAAATAAGTCAGGGGCAAAAAGTCTCACACTTTAAGGTAAAATGCTCCCTAATAAAGACGATTCCGCACTAATAATATGTTACATGTCTCCGAGTAGTTTTGTTATTGAAACTTATAGAGAGCCAGCTCTTCTGAATCTTATATCTGCCTTCAATAAGGTACCATTTAGCCCAAAAGAAATGTTTTCAAAGGTTTGATATTCATTGACTTATACCCTAAATAGGGGTGTACAAACCGAACCGAAAAATCGCATCAAACCGAAAAGTCAAATCAAACCGATTAAAAAATTCGACTAGGTTTGATAATTGAATAAAAAAATCTGAACCAAACCGACATATAAATATATAATTTTTATATGTACTTCTAAGATTTTATATAGAATTTTCTTTTTAAAATATCTAGAAATATTTGGGATTATCTTGCGGGATATAATATTTAATAGTATATGAAGTGTTCCATATATACTAACCTTAAATAATGGGTTGTAGGATCACTTTCTCATCATTACCGAAATGTGTCAATCTCTTTGTTCTTCCATATTCATATCATATGTTAAGATTTATTAAATTGTTATATCTTTTTTGAATGTGAAGTGATTATTATTATTTAGGTATCATATTGATTTTTAGGTTTAATTACTAAATTCGGTTAACCTTGAAGGTGTACATCAACGAAACATTATTGTCAGATGACTAAAAAAATAACTATTATGTGTTACTAAGAAAATTCTCTCATAAGAATATTTTAATAGATAATATGTCTGTCAACTTTTTATATTTTTAAACATATATTTACTTATAAAAAATTTAACAAAGTAAGATTGAAATAATATTAAAATAACAAAAAACCCGAAAAGTCCGACAAATCCGAACCAATCCAAACCGATATAGTTGGTTTAATTTGATTTTGATAAAAACCAAACCAACCCGATCCATGTACACCCCTAACCCTAAGTATTCCAAACTTTGGGCAAGATCAATATTCAGTCATGTGTGCAGAAAGGATTTCAACATATGTAATCTTAGCTAGAATGTGATATATGTAATTGAATTTTTCATTATATTTTTAAGAAACTCATCATTCTATAAGTTTGGGAAAGACATTGTTCTAATAGATTCGAAAAAGAAAAATTTATTGTCCTTATAAAATTGGGAAAACCTTTCTTTGATAGATTTCAGATTATATGGGATTAAGATATAGGGGTTATAATTTCTATCGGATACAGTCCCTCTATCATCTAGGTTGGGGTAAGGTTTGCGTATACACTACCCTTCTCAGAATCCACTTATGGGATTACACTAGGATTGTTGTTGTTGTATATAGGGGTTATAATTGGAGATTCTAGAGATTTTATTGTGTTATTCTTTTCATTTATAGTGAAAAACTCTCTTTGCTTCCGGCCGAAAGATTAGATTTAGCCGAACCTCGTTAAATCCTTGTGTTATTTCTTCTTTATGCTTTGTATGTGATTGTATGCTAGTTAATCCACAATTTTCCGCAACATAGAAGATGTGATGTGATCTTGATCAAGTTCTTTAAAATATTGTTACCTCAATTACTTCAATGGTAGTAGTAAATTAAATGGATAGAATCAAATAATAATCAAAGCACTCTGGATAATTTATGGAGATTACCTCCAAAGAGATTACTACAGAAAAAGAATTACGAAGGAGATTACCATTAAGAAATCCCAAGGGAGCAGAAAATCTGAGAAACTAAAAGCCATCTATAGGACAATATTTGGTTTAAGCAGAAAAAATAATATTTGTATCGGTATGTGAGTGAAAACAATTATTTCACTTGAAAAACTTTTTAAATATTATTTTTTTCAAATATTGACATTCAGTATTTGTAAATACGGATGGCTAAACTAATATTTGCAAATACCAGTAGATTATTTATGAATCAGTTCTATTGCTTGGTAAGAGATTACTAAAAAATAATTATAAAGGAGATTACCATTTAGAGATCCTATCTATAGGACAATATTTGGTTGAAGTAGAAATAAAATATTTGTATCGATATGTGAGTGAAAACAATTATTTCACTTGAAATACTTTTTAATTTTATTTTCAAATATTGATATTCAGTATTTGAAAATACTGATGGCCAAACTAGAATTTGCAAATACCAATAGATTATTTATGGCTAAATGAGACCTAGCAGCTAACCTGAATCAGTTCTATTGCTTTGGTAAATATCAAAACGGAAATCAAGAAATGGATCAGAGCATGTGATTAGATCTTAAGACTGAGATGTGATTCAACAAACGGAATAAATTAGATAAGGCCATAGGACAGCAAAAAGAAGATTGAGACATAAAATGCAAATAGAATAATCTTATTTATTAATGGCCTAGGAATAAGATCCTTTTAAACTTTTAATAACACTTTAAATGTGCATTAAGAGAAAACAAATGACCACCACAATACAAGCACAACTGCAGCTCTAATTGGTATCCAAAGTCTCTTTTAGTGGGGTCAAAGTTAATGTAATAGCAAACACAAACTTCACTTTTCACAACAAAAGAAAAAGTAAATTTTGGCTCCTATTCTTGTAAACCCTATTGCCTTAATTCTTAAAGTAAGCACAAAATCCATAAGGATCAAAAAACTTAAACAAACTAGGCATAAGATAATTTAATAAGTTAAATCCGCTGTAAGGTACACAAAGTATTTCGTGTTCGCGTAAAGTCCGGGGAAAAATCGCATTCCGAGAGGTGTGACGTAGACAACCAATAGTAATGCAAGCATGTGTAGCTACTTCCACAACTTGAACATGTAACCTAAAGGTTACATGGAGACGGCTTTACGTTGCTCCAAAGCTCCCCTTCTAACTTATGCTGAAATTTCAAATCCAGAACATTTGATGGATCCAATGGATATATCAATCTCAATCAAATTGTCTTCTTCATACACATCACTTATATCTGCCAAGAAATCCACAAGACAATGTTGTTGAAAGATAGATTTTGGGGCTAAATCTGCAAATACCTTTTGGTTATACTGTTGAAAAGATAACTTAGGAGGATCTTTTACAAATTGGCCACTTGGTAATGCTATTTCAATTAGACTTTCCTCATCAGAAATTGAACCATCTGAACATAATGGACTGTGTTCTAGCTCACCTGAGAATGGCCAATCAATATCAGAATCTTCACTTGAAGATGAATGCCTACCAAGACTTGAACTTTCTGAATATAAATCAAGAATTTGAGCCACCCCATTTTCATTTCCAGGTTTCTTGACTGCTAAAATTTCCTCAACTTGTCCAAAGTTTGCATTTTGAGGTTGTTGGTCTGATACCATTTGCTTAACTTGAGGTGTTTGTTCCATTAGCTGACTGTTGGGAACTGCTTCTTGTTCTTGTTTTTCTACTTCTTGGACTGATTTCTTTTGGATACTATTTCTTTGTTTTGAGAATGTGAAAGCTAAAGTAGATACAATTAAAACTGAAGTTGTGATAGAAATAGAAATAACCCCATATCCTGAAAAACTGGCAAATAACAAGTATGGTGGAACCAGAATAGAAATCAGTGGTATTGAGTTTCTGAGTAGAGACATAGAAGAAGACATTTTGGTAAGTTCTCAAGATTTTGCAAAAGAAATAAGGGAAACAAAAGGAAAAGTAGGAAAATTATAATATCCAATAAGGTGACACTTTTAAAAGTTTATTGGAAAAAGGCAAAGGAAAAGATTGGAACTTTCTTCTCTTTTCTTGAAAAAGCTGTGATTTTTATGAATGCAGTAATGGATACAAGAAACTTAGACATTAACAAGATGATATTCAATACATTCTTCAATAGCCAGACAGTGCAACTTAGATCAAGAAAGCAAATACAGCATATTTTTTTCAGCTGTGAAATGCAAAAAAAAACTTAGTAAAAAGAGGCAGTAAATGAAGTGGAAAATGCCAAAAGAAGAAGATTAAAAATGGAAGAGAAGAATAGACTATGCAGGTTTAAATAATGAGAATTTTTCAAACAAGGAATTGAATTGCTGGGCTGTTTCCCTCTTCATTGACTCACATTTCCCAACTATACCTAGAGAAGTGTTATTTATTTGTTTTTTTTTTAAAACACCAATCTAGTGGTCTTCCTCTGTAACTGATTCTCTTGAACTCCTCACTTTCCTACTACTGTTTCAAAAACTTAGAAATTTGAGAAAGCCATGTGCAGATCTCTGAGCTTACCACATGGCATTTCTCCCCTCCAATTTTCATGAAAAAGAGTTTTGAAAAAAAAAAAAAACTTAAGTACAAGCAGTAAAAAGAAATGGTTATTTGTTCTGTGATTCAAAACTTCAAGAAAACCTTTATATATATAATCTCACTGCCATATATACCTGAAAGTTTTACCAAGATTCAGATGGATAAGCTTCAATTGTATATCCACTTTCTTTTTAGCCTTAAACTAAATGGAAAGCAGCTATTTTGTTGTTTCACAACCAAATTAAAGAACCTTCCTTTCTCACTTATCTGCGCCATTGACTGAGTTTAAGTACACCACCAATTACTTTTTTTCTTTCTTTTTGCAATTGTTCTTATCGGTAGTACTGTCATTATTCTTGTATTTTCCTGTTCCTAAATCTTTCTTATTACTTGGCCATTTGCACTATTATATTGTTGTTGCTGTTATTTGTTTATTGCTATCTTTTTGTTTCTAAGTCGAGGATCTACCGCAAATAATTTTTCTATTCTTGTAAGATAAGGGTAAGGTCTGTACAATTAATATACTCCCTAGACCCGTTAGTAAAATTTTACTAAATTTGTTGTTGTTGTCGTTGTTTTCATTATTTCGGTCAAAATTTAAATAAAATTTTGCCTTAGTGACATCAAAACATTATATTGACTAGGACTTGTCAGAAACCATTGTGTTCACAGACGTAGGCGTACCATTAAAAAAAGAAAAGAAAAAAAGTAGTACTCCATGCGTTCTAATCTACTTGAACCTGTTTGACTGAGCCCGAAGTTTAAGAAAAAAAGGAAGAATTTTTAAATTTGTGGTCCTAAACAAGTCCAAATGGGCCCAGAGTATTTGTGTGGTTATAAAAGCTTCTCATTAAAGGTAGAGTTGTAACTTTAAACTAAATTGTTACCAAATTTAGAAAGGATTCATTCTTTTTGGAACAGACCAAAAAAGAAATAGGTTCACATAAACTGGAACAGAGGAAGTACTAATTAAGTGAGAATCGATCCTTATTCCCACGGGTAATTAACTTAATATTCAACAAACTACATCATTCAACTTTTTGGAGTATTTATTATTATACAAATTCGAAAAAATACGTATATAAAATAGCTAATTTGACGAAGAAATGATGAATTCACGTACTCCATAATCTGGATTATAACCAAAGCAAGGTTAATGCTCCTATATCAGTATACTTGCTGCCAAGCCTTTTATCTGTTATTTTAACTAGTTAGGTAAGGAGAGATAGGAGGGAAATAAAATGAAAGTAGATAAATTCAAAATCTTTAGTGCCTTCCATTTCTTAAGTCATTATCAAACCTCAAATTTTTATTTTTATTCTTAAATTACTATTTTTCGAACGGACTCTTAGAGCAACGGTCAAGTTGTCTACGCGGAACCTATAGGTCATGAATTCGAGTCATGAAATCAGCTATTGATATTTGCATTACGGTAGACTGCTTATATTACATCCCTTGAGGTGCGGCATTTTCTTTAGACCCAAAGTGAACGCTGGATACTTTGTGCATGAAGCTGCCTTTTTTAAAAATTACTAGTTCATCATAAAGATATTTGCAGAATTTCTCTATCTTGGATTTTCAATCTTTAAGAGAAAGGAAATGCTGTTTTCCTAATATTACGAAGAAGAATTAACCTAAATAGCCGTGCACCTATCCGCTTAAACAAAAAATAGCCAGTTTATGCATAATATATGTATAAATCATGTGTGATATATGTATAACTATGTATAATCTATATATACCTATTAGAAAAAATAAATAGTGAATCCGATTGGCTATTATAGGAATTCTCTTGATGAAATTGAATGTTGATGCAATGAAACCAATCCCATTAATCTTTTTTTGATAAAAAATGTTGTCAACACCAGACCTCAAGAACAAAGAGAAGCACCTCAACTTTCTTGATACACTATCATATAGACATAAAAAAGACTGCAAATTAATCAAGAATGCAACTTTTATCCCCTACTAATAATGATGTAGCTTTTTCTCTATTGGTTTGTGCCTTTAATGATGGCTTTTTGCATGCTTTTTATCATGTGGGACATTGTAATTTACAATTTTTCCACCTACATGCAATTTGGCTCTCCCATCCTCCAAGTAGTACCCACTTGCAAATTTAGAGATTAAAATTATTATTCTTCCTATTCCAAGGCACATAGTTGATAATGGGGTTATTCTTTTGTTTTGTTACCTAAAAGCAAAGTGGCTTACCAATGTCTATGATTATACTAGCAAATCATTTGTAATTCAAATGGAAAATTTTCCTACAACTAATTTCATATTGCATTGGCTTTTATATGAAGGAGAAAAGGTTATATGCATTTGTTTTTTTAGTTCGCGCAGCTTAGGTGGAAGGTGAAGAAGGCTTCCTTTGGGAGTTTTTTGGGGGGGGGGGGGGAACCCGAGCCATCAATCAGATGTCCCTTTGGAAGGACTAGAGTTATAACCTCGCGTCATGATAGGTAGACAGTTTCTATGAAGCTTGTTAGTTGTTTGTCTTGATTTTCTTACCATATTTATTTTTCTTATTTTTTGAACGAAAGTTCAACATATTTATTATAATTCGGTTTTTCTTTTTGTAGAAGAAAATTATAAATCTTCCATATTTGGTTAGATTTAACCTTCAACAGGTCGCATCTCCAAATCTCCATCGCAAAGTTTGTCTCAACGTGAGTAATACTCTGATCAAATATTTCAAACAAAAATTATAATTACCGTCAAATATGTTACGGTTAGAAGTGTGTCCTCCCAAAAGGTAATGGAGGCATGAAAAAATTTCCTCGGGCCGGAGAGTGGCTCTCGAGTGCAAAGACAGAAGGGAGCTTGAATTGACACTTAATGCGTCTTTGACATACTAACATGGTAAACAGCAGCAGCAACAACAACAATAATAATAATAATAATAATAATAATTACGCCTCAATCACAAGTAAATTGGGTTCAACAACGTGAATTGTCATGTTCATGTTGCTCCATTGGAGCCTATCACTGTTTCATATTAAAAGAAAAAAATAAAATTTCACTTTGAATTTATTATGCTTCTACCAATTAGAGGTACTAATTACTAGAGTAAAATACAATCTAATAATCCAGTTAAAGTACAGCAAAAAATTACCACCAAAGTTATTGCTAATACAGTAAAACTTGAAAAGAAATGAAATCCACCTGTCGCCAAATTGCAAGTGCTACTTGTCGCAAACCGAAAGGAAGTTCACATGAAGTTGTAAATTTCAGCAACTCCTTTGCACAAGATTATGCCTACAACATCCTTAAAAGAGTCTTAAAATTCCTTTAATAACATTATTTACTCGGCTAATTGTCTTGAAAAAAACAAGCTAGACAAAGAAAACCGACCAGTATTTGGGATTTGTAGTGTAGCTTAAGTACTGATTTTGGTTGACAAAACATGGATTAAGGAGAGTTGGAGGGGACCATATCTTAATGTTGGTGAATGCTCTCATTGTAATGGTAAAAATGTGGATAACAGCAGTCTATACTTGGAATGGAGAGCTTGGAGATTTTGTCCTATACTCTTTTTTATTTCTCTTTAATACTTCCACCTTCTTGAATTATCTGTCGTGATTTCTAATAATAGTTATCTCAAATTATTTGTCACTTTAGAAGTTCAGGATCACAAAATTAATTATTATTTTCCTTTTATATCCTTAGTAATAATTATCTTTGAAGACTACAAACACAGAACTTTGTTCAAATACCAATAAAAAAAGATTTAAATATTAAGACATAAATAAGGGTAAAGTAATCGAAATCCCATCCTTTTTTTTCTTAAGATCCATGTACAAGAGAATCATGACACATAATATGAGACGGAGGGAGTACGTAGTTATTCTCTCTGTCCCATTGTATACGAGGGATTTGACTAGACTCGAAATTTAAGAAAGATTTTTTTTTGAAACTTATGATCTTTATTACAAATTTTTCTACGACTATAAAATTATGTCACAGAGAGTAAAAAATAGAAAATTTAAATTATTTTTAAATATAAAATAATTCCTTTTTGGAGTGAAAAACTAAAAACGAAAGCGTGTCACATAAAATGGGCTTGATGGAAAGTGTAAGCTGTTGTTGCCCAATTTTGCCCTCATATTTTCTCAAATGATATATATACTTTTAAAACATCATTTTTGCATCATTATTTAGTTTACAAAATCTATACGAGCATTTTTTATAATTTTTCATGATTTGTAGAGCATTTAAATTTCTTGAATAATTATGAATTACTTCTTCAAATTATTTTGTGGTGACTCAATTACCTAAAATTATTATTTGCATCTATAATATATGTTTCAAATATTTTTACCTCATTTTATATAATACATTAGTATTTTTTAGGCTATTTGTACAATCTTGCAATAATAGCATGTATTTTACAATTGTATTACATTTGTTATCTTATTCAAAGTCAAAATAATAGCTTACATCTTTGTAATCTTCTACTATTATTTTAAAGTGTTAATTTGCATAAATAGCATTTTTATATCTTATTTAACTATTTTTATTTAAATTATTTTCCCCAATTATCTATTTTAAAATTTGGCCCAAAATTGGGATTAATTTTAGACCATTAATGTCACGCCCCAACCTCGCGAAGCGCGACCGGCGCTCAACCGAGTGAACCCGGTCGAGCAAGCCTATCCAGCCTTTCCTACCCGATTCATTCATAATCCGAAAACGAAATGCATCACCATTTGTTAAACAAGGGAGAGATCAGTTATATAAATATGTAAACGTTGCTAGTTCATTTTTACTTAAACACAATATGCCATGGTTAAGTCCTCAAAAGTATATACAGTTAACAATCTAGTGGAATAGAGTTTCAAAATACAACGTGATCCAATGACCACCCCGACACCCATACATGACACACATAAACGTCTACGGAGCCTTTGGATACAAAAGATCAGCTTGATAATGCCGGCAACAAGGCCCCGACTATACCTTAAAATGTGGAAATTTATACAAAAGAAGAACTACATAACCCTTGGGAGAAATGGGGGTTTACCAAGACTGTTGTGAGGAGAGAAAGAGAGCACCACTATCTGCGATCGGCGCTATCTGCGATGGAACCACCTATATAAATTCAAAGATGTAGCGCCCCCGGCAAAAGGGACGTTAGTACTGTCGAATAGTACTAGTATGTAAGACAAACACAAATTTTAGTAGGATGAACAATGAAACAAATAGAAGGCAGTTATAAAAATCAACAAGTACTTCACAGGATTACGAGGAAACACCAAAAAAGGATCACATAGTCCGGTCAGTCTTTCCATCTCTTTAGGTTAATAATCTTTAGTGCCAAGCGCCACAACTCA